ATATTTGTAATCTTCGGTACCAGTTCCCTTTACGGGCGTGAAACCATTCAATGTGTGCTATTCAAATACGCAGTTTAGGTGCAAGTGTCAGGGACGACACTTTTCTTCGGGGGGGGGGGGGAGTTTGTTAGGGCGTATACAAGTGGAAACAAACGTTAAACGTAAACGGAAATAATCGTAACGGAAATGCATAACACGTGACTTGTGACGTATCACTTACATCTGGGAAAGTAGTAAAATTGATGTATGAGTGCTCTCCTCTGCTTGTATGCGTTAGTTGGATTAAGAAATACGTATCTTGAAGTGCTATTTGTTTTATTGGTCTTTACTGTAGTTTTATGGGGTACGGGTAACGAAGGACTTTCTACAAATTGGCCTGGCGTGGCTCGTTGATTATTTTATTTTTTTGTAGCCCCAAAAGCCCGGCTTATGACGCTGGAGGTACTGCACTTGATATATTTGATACACGAGGCACCCTTCAAGGAGGAGGGTTAGAACAAAATTACTTTTACGACGTATACTGCACCCGTTTTGCATATGTAGGTAATATGCTTCTGATTTATTTTATTGTAAGGGGTTTCTTTTTACATGTTTGTAACATATATCCATTCCTTTAATTTTCTTCCTAACCTGCCTGCAAATAATTAAATTTGTTTGGATAAAACAGAAGTGATGCAGAGTTCTCTTTCCAGATTGAATTCAGGTGAGAAAATCATTGAACTAGTTAATGTCATATGCTTCTACTGAATCTTTAATTTTATTGCCCTGTTTTTTTGTTTTGTTTTTTTTCACAAAGCCTCTTTTATATCTCTGTTTGCCAGCTAATGATAAAAATATCAGTGAATAGATATACCATATTTTAGTAGTTTTTCAAATTCTATCTTTAAGTTTTTGGCATTTACAATTTTAAAATTCATAAATGGCATTCCTTTTCATCCTTGCAAAGAGATATTACACATTTCTTTAAGTTACTGCCTACTTTTGTATTTCATTAGCTAGAGTTGCGAAGATCATGGACAGTTGGCTAAAAGAAACCTACTTTATAAGTAGTTACAGCAGAGGTTACCGAATCAAATAACAGAGAAAAATCTCATAAAGACGCCGTGTATTTCCAGCCTGAGGACAATCATGAAACAATAATATATAGCCATAAGAGAAAAAGTTAAAAAAAAAAACAGGTTCAAACACGAGTTGAAAGTCACTTTCTTTTTAATTTTTATGCTTATGGGAAAAACGGTGGGGTAAGCAGTCATACCTGGCAACTTCAAAAAAAGATATAGGAGAAGCCCGTACAATTCTGGCATCTTGATTTACTAATTCACTGTTCTCACGTGTCATACTCTTCAATCGACCGGGAAGAAGTTTACTGTCGTTTCTTTCAATTTTGGCTCATTTTCCCAAACCAAAATTATCAGTCACGCTCAAAAGAATATAATTTCAACTGATGCTGACATCGCACACTTTATCTGAAGAGGAAAAGATTCCCTATCATCGAAAATTTGCTCAAAACATCAGGAACAGAAACGAAGGTCCTCAGCTGCTTGGAAATACCACTGACTAGCACGAGTGTTGATCACTTTGCAAGTTGTGAGAACGTCGTCCCCGGTCCCCAGGTTCCAGACCTTGTCAATTCTTCCCTTCCCTCCCCACCCCCAGAATGATCCCTAAATCCCCATTGAAAAACCTCTTCAACAGCCAGTGCTGAAGAGTTTCATTACAGTTTTTATTATAATGAGGGGCTAGAAAATAAACTAACGAGAGCTCCGCTTTTAGGCTTGGCTAAATCTATATATTACACTGCCCTAATTTTCCATCCGCCGCATTGCCCAGAAACGAAGCTCAATTGCTAGTCGAGAAATAATATTTTACGTTGTTATGAGAGAAAAAATAATATCTGGTTTTAGTTTATCTTAGGAATGAATAGATGAGGTCAAGTGAAATTAAAAATAGTACCAGTAATGAAATAATCTCCATTCAAGCCTTCAGACGTAACGGAGATTATTGGTTGCGTAGAAACTAAAGGTTTAGGTTTCCGCAATTGGAACTTGAGCTTGCTAAATACCACCTCTTGAAAATTCGCCTGCGTCATTAGGCGATGAAGTTAGCTTGCGTATATAGGTGAATTCATTTAAGGCCACGAATGGACAAACCTTTTCGTGAATTAATTTTCCTTCTACTCCGATGATTGCTACACACCGAAGTCTGACTGAGCTAAGTACACGCATCTTGCAGCGACCAAATAAGCGATTGGAAAAGGAAACCTTTCGCGACCGTGAAGTAACTGGGCTGTCGAGAGAGAGCTTCAGGTCAATATTTTGAGGTAAGAGTTTGTGGATTTTATTCCATACTGAGCTCTTTATTTCTGCCTCTTACATCTTATGTTTAACACATTTGTAGCCACCTCGAAGAAATCTGCTCCGCGCAAGCAAACATTTTCGCTAAATCAATGTTTGAAATCAAACATGGACACCGATTAACCATGAAACTACAAATAGATGCTCATTTGGGTGGTGAATAATGCACATACAATCGAACGATCGATCGGAACTGAACGAGTTTAGTCGAAATCCGAATGCTAATTCTCCGCTTTCAACCCGATTTATTTATTTATTTTGTGTTTCGTGTAAAGCTAGACATAGGTTATTTTCAATGTCATCTTATCTTTCATAACTTTTACTTCGATTAAAAAGAGATCAAACCAAGTACAAAAATGCACTTCATCAAGAATAACTACCTGAAGGCGGAAGTAAATCGAAACAAAGTTTCTTGGGAGGGACCCTGAGGTGTATGTTCTACTCTTTCCATTAGACTTCTAAGGAGAGGAGACCGATCTGCTTCCCCCCCACCCCCCTTACATACAAGAGATGTGTACTAAATGGGTAACAAATTGCTGTACGTGACCTTTACTTCTGTTGCAACTCAATTGAGATCATATTATGGTTATTCGTGACTTGTGCACGTGTCACGCGGTCTCGCGTGATGTGCAATTACTCGATGACATTCTTGGTTGCCGCTTTTTGCAAATCAGAGATCATAACAATACAATGAACTCAGTTGAATAAGTCTGCGCCAATTATAAGATCTCTATCACTTATATGCATGAAATTATGCATGCGACTGAACTAAATTTGTCAGCAATTAATCTTACTAATCCTGACAAGTTCCGCACCATAGAATATAACGACATGTGATAGCGCGAACAAGAATGACAGAAAATACTGCTTGATTAGTTGTTTCGGTATGAAACCAGGAGATAGCGCTGTTTAACATAACTGGAAACTGCACGGTTCTATCTATTGATTTATATATGGTTTTTTTCTGCTGGCTCATGTGGTGTACATAGAAATTGAAAGAGGAGGGCAAAAGGTTAAGATTTCGAAAACAAAAGTCTCTGGATGCTGCTACACACTGTTTTGCATATCGAGATGCGTTGATTGGTTTGTCTCAAGTGGAATAGAGAGGCTTGAAAAAAACATTCCGCTTGTATCTTAGTTCTTGATGACTTTATTCATCGCCATTTACCCTTGAGACCGAAGCTGATATTGACTTAAAGCGATTTACAACTTGCAAAAGGATCAAATTTGGCCCTGCTCAAAGACAATTGGTTGGTGGCCGCTTTGTCGGTGGGTGATCAGGCTCTCAGTCCACGAGGTAAGAGTTTCAACTCTGGCTGCGTTTTATTTCCGAGAGATCGATTACATCTGTATCTTTCGCATTTTGTTCGTGTGGCTCTCGAATTAGGCAGTATTGATGCTTTGGCTTCTATTCCGTTGACGAAAACCATGGTATTAAGGTTTCATAACTTTTTGCATTTCGAAACTGTAGGATCACTGACTCGTGTAGTTGTGGTTAGGACATGGTACCATTAACATTCAAGCAGCATGTTGAGTTTTATCGAGCCTGATCAAAAAAAAAAAAATGAGAGGCGTGAAATGGTTCTTTTGAGAACAAAATTAACTATCTTCATAGTTAAAATGGGTTTGATTAATCGTGTGCCTCCAGAAAAAAGCAAACAAACAAACAAGTATAAAAAGTTTGATGCCGTCAGAGAGTAAAATACGAAGCGATCGCAATCGGAACATAATAAAAGTCACCTTACATGTAGCTTAACTGGTTAATTCTATAAATACGGCTATCTGCTGACAAGGAGAAAACAGCGTTGGTTAGTTTTGACACGTTCCGAAGGCAATATGGTCAGTGCGCGAACCCCGAAATGTAATCAATGAACTTTTGCTAGCAAACATGTTCACTTAAAACACACAGACAATTCATATAACAAAGCTTGCACAGTTGCGGCAAACTAGTGAATAATGACTTAACAACAGCCTGAGTAAGCCTTCCCTCTGTTGGTTTCTACTAGCGTCTCCTCGTTAAACTGACCAAGCCTTATGTGACTATGTTACGTCACACTGGCAGAAATGAACTGACGCCGACAAATACTAGAAAACAAGAGGTCACCCCACTCCTCCTCTTTCCTGCCCTTGGGAAGCCCTCATAATCTAACGATTCAAACCATTGCGCGTGCACTTTTAAGTGTTTCACACACCACTGAGCATTTTAAGCATAAATGTATCATACAGATAAATTGACTATTTGTGGTTTCTTTTTAAAAAATTGTTGAGATCACTTCGAGTTTACTTTACACGCAGTAATTATTTGTGAAGACATCGATGAAAAGTGTTGTAGGATATCCTTTCCGTTCAGGATGTGGAACGTTATTTATCGCTAAACCTCAGTTATATAAAAAATATGTTCTTAAAAACGCACCCAAGGTTGTAAAAATTGACATTTGCCGATTGCTCGAAGAATGAATAATCCGTTTTCGCTCTGAATAAGTCACCGTCAAGCGGATAAATATCCATACCGCCCATATTGGTAGTTCAGAAGATGAATAGTGCTATCCACTCCTAATCCCATGTACGAAGAATTCAAACTAAACGGAAACTGATTGTATTATTAACCTAATCTGCCTCTATATGTCTTTTAAAAATTTTTTTTATAATTTCTGCAAAGGTTCTTCATGGCGTCAGCAGCGGCCCCATCGTTTCGTTCAACTAAAGAGACAACTAATTACGCCCGGTTATGCAGGCTTCTGGTGGATGTCAGTGCATATATCCTGAGAGAGACATTTGACAAGAAGCGTCCGCCAGGAAACCTTGATACGGTTTTGTCAAGCCCTCCGGTTCATGCGGTGCTACAGATACTCAAATGTCGTAAAGTGCTGACTACATCTCAATGGAGTAAACTATATCCTACCATCAAATCTTCAGTTTCATCAAACAATTTCGATATCACTCTTCTTATGGTTCTGCTGAGGAACATTTGTAATCTTGTTCGTCCAGCTACCGGCTGGGATACACTTCCTCCTGCAACAGACACAACCCTTGAGGCAGATATCGTTCGCATCAAGTGTTACAGAAACACAGTTTATGGTCATGCCAGTCAGGCCTCAGTTGATGACGCAACATTCAATCAATGCTGGCAGGACATCCAAGATGCATTGGTGAGACTGGGAGGAGCTGGTTACCAAAGTGTTATTGATGATCTGAAAAAGGAATGCATGGACCCTGATTTTGTGGAACACTACGGAGAGCTTCTTAAACAGTGGGTGATGGATGAAGACAGCATTAAAGAAATCCTGGATAGGATAGTAGAAGAAGTAAATAGTTTGAAAGAATTCTTCATCAAACCTAAAAAGAAGACAGGACTGGAAGGTAACTTTGCACTCGATGCCCTTAAGATCAAACACTATATCTACAACTTCTTATTTGTCTCTTAATTTTCTCTATTTTCAGGGATAAAACAATTTTTAAAATTAACTGATACCGATAAAATGAAACACCAATTTCTCAACTGACATTATTAAAAAAAAAATTGCCTCCCTCCCGACTCCTTGAAATGCAACGGAAATGGTTAATAGGGGCGTGGTAACTTCCTTCATGTTATGATGTGCAGACCCACTCATTTTGGAGAATTTAGGATTTCTTGAATATCAATAACGGTTTCTGATTGAACAAGATGTCATATGCATGGATGGGTTCGGCAGTAATATACGTTTGAATAGACACCTTCAGCATCCCCTCTGGTATGATAATTTTCCCGTTTTGTAAGATTCCCCCGGCTTAGCAAAGACACTGTTCATACTTCATGCTTGAGCAAAACGTATTATTCACGGAGAAAAGCTTTTAAACAATCTCGTGAAAAAATTCAAATGAAAATTGCTTACCAATAAAGTCGTCTATTTTTCTCTGTGTAGTCGTCATTTCCATACCATTTGCATCTTTAAACTTGATCCCCACCTCTCGTTAAAAGCAATATCCGCATTAAACCCAAATATTTCCTAAAGAATCTTTTTAACTGATTTGTGACACCATTCAAACATCTAAAAAATATTTTGAAACTATATCAGACAAAATTAAAACATTTGGGTTTCCTTTTCAGCTGTAGAAGCATACACAAACGCGTTGAAAAAATCAATAAAAACCCAAACGGAGTTCCACAGTGTAGCTTCTCCCACCTCAACTAAGGTAAGAATAGATGACACGTACACCAGCCTTCTGATACAACACGGAAGAAAGCCAGTCGAAGACCCTGATATGGGAAGAGGAAAACACCTTCAGCAGTACGGTCAAGTGAGTGGAAAACCAGTCACACACTGTCAAGACATTTTCATCTCTGACGCCGATTGTCAAGACAAAAAGAATCCCAAAACTGTCCTCGTCACTGGGAAGGCAGGGATTGGTAAGACACTGTTCTGCCAAAAGTTAATCCGAGATTGGGCTGGCAACAAATTGTTTCAATCCCAAACAAACCCAGCGCAACTACCTGACTTTAAGTTCGCTTTCTTGTTAACATTCCGTCAATTGAATTTACTTGGGGACGACCCTGTGAGCTTGAAGGATATCTTAATCCGATCCTCAGTGTTAGATGACGACTCAAATATTGACGACTCTTTATTTGAGTACATTTTTCATCATTCTGAAGAAGTTTTGATCATCATCGACGGGTATGACGAATGTTCAAAGCAAAGTTTTATTACTAGTGATCTGGATGAACAGTATCCAAATGGTGCCCAAGAGGAAATGCCGGTTGCAGCTCTGTGTGCCAAGCTTATCAAAGGAAAAATCTTGAAAGATTCCGTTGTCATGATAACCTCAAGATCCGATGAATCTGATGACATAAAGGATAAAATTGGCTTTGACCGGTGCGTGGAAATCACAGGATTTTCTGAGCAAAATGTGAAGGAATACATCGACAAGTATTTCAAAGAAAACGACGTCATGAAGAATGTTGTAATGGATCACATTACCAAGAATGAAAATCTTGTCAGCTTTGCCCACATTCCAGTTCTCTGTTTTCTAATGTGTTCCTATTTTGAGTACATATTGCAGGAATCGATGAAAACTGATGCTCTCCCGGTGAACACAAGTGACATTTATTTTGAAGTGGTTAATATGTTTTTTATTAAGCATAGCAAAACAAAAGGAACCACACCTGAAGTTACAATGGACAAATTGTCAATTCTGGCTGCTCAATTGCTCCGAGAGAAGAAGTATCTTTTCGCCGTCGAAGATATGAAGACATTTACTGAAGAAGAGGTTGAGAACTTACGAGCAAGCGGTCTTCTTCATTGCGGTCCCATGTTTAGAAAATCTTTCTCGGAAATGACGAAACATTTCTGTTTCACCCATCTGACACTCCAGGAATACTTAGCGGCCCATTGGTTTGTGAAGCACAAAAAGATTCCGTCCGGAGAAAATGCGTCAGCAATGGTGTTGCAATTTATGTCTGGAATTTTATCAAAACAAAAAGACAAAGCTTTTATGCATAAACTGCTTGAAGGAATCAGTAAGAGCTCTTCAGCCGAGCGTCCAGCAGGACTAATAATTACGAAATGTCTAGCTGAGTACCAAGACAAAGAATTTGCAAAAACTGTCGTGAAGAAACTTTCCAATCAGTTTAGTGATCGTGATGGAAATATTAAATTTCAACACTTGACCGATGTGGACTGCATTGCTGTATCTTTTCTGTTAGATGTCATAAATACATTAAATGTAGTAGAAACGCCTGAAAGGAGTCAAACATCTCCCCAACTGTCTCCCAGGCCGTTGGGCAGTCGACGTGGACTCTCTAGGCGTGTCACCCTGAGTGCAGGGGAAACTGCTGGAAGGAGTCAAACATCTCTTCAAATGGCTCACAGGCCGTTGGATAATCGACGTGGACTCTCCAGGCGTACCACCTTAAGCGAAGGGGAAACTGCCGGAAAGATTAAAACGTCCCTTTGCCGGCCCTGTTGGGCACAACTGACTCTCTTCAATTGCCAAATTACACAAACTGGACTACGACAAATTTTTAAGGCGCTAAAGAAATGTTTCTGCACCGTCACTTCACTACTCCTTTCTGTGTGTATTTTAAACGAAGAATGTGTTGCAACGATCGCAGAATCGTTGCCAAGGACTAAGCTGATCGAACTGTCTCTGAAAGGAACTCGGATCACTGATGCCGGTGTTCTCAGTCTATGTCGAGTACTACAGACACAAACATGCAAAATTACCTCATTAAATCTGAGTGGTAATCAGATCACCGATGCCGGCGTTGGTAGTCTATGTCAAGCATTACAGACTGCAACATGCAAAGTAACAACACTATATCTGGGCCGTAATCAGATCACCGATGCCGGTGTTGCCAGTTTACGTCAAGCATTACAGACACCAACATGTGAAGTTACCTCATTAAATCTGAGTAGTAATCAGATCACCGACGCCGGCGTTTGTAGTCTTTGTCAAGCATTACCGAGAGCAACATGCAAAGTCACAACACTAGATCTGGGCCGTAATGAGATCACCGATGCCGGTGTTGCCAGTCTATGTCAAGCATTACAGACAGCAACATCCAAAGTCACAACACTATAACACCCATGACCTCTGCGATACCGGTGCAGCGCTCTACCAATTGAGCTAACAAGC